CTAAAATTCGGTATGAGAAGGGAGTGTTATTGCACTGGGCAACTTCGTTTCTTGGCTTAGTGTATTTTGTATGTATTTTCGTAAAGTATGGCTTCTTGCTCTTATGATCTCTATCACAAACTAGTACAGACTCATCAAGGTCACAGGACAGTGAATCAATTTCGTTGGCAACCCTTCGGTCTCCAGTGGTTCTTAACCAACTTCTTTTCGGAATAAAAATTCATGCCCTATTAAATCATTAAGGCCTTCTTCGAAACTCTCTTTTTCTTGGATCTCTTCAATTGACTTAGTGTTAATAAGTTCTTATATTTTGATTCAGTATTCTTCAAATACTACCATAAGAGTAGTATTCATTCTAGGTCGCATAATATGATGAAAGAATGGCTATTAAATTATTCAATTGATGTGTCAATAAGCCCAAAGATGCCATTAAATTTCACCTTCGCTTGCCTCCCAAAAAGTATTCTCATTCAGCCTGAACAGCAGATTTGACTTCGACTGGGCTTCATTCATGACACAACGGGATTCCAACTTGGTTAGTACAGTGTATAATTTCGACATGCCACCACATTGCACCACTGTCAGTGAATCACAGGGGAGACATGAATTTCACAAAAAGCCATGCATCTCCCTTAATAAATTTTAGTGATGGGATTGTCGATGAATGAACGTATATTTGTTATGATAATCGACTACTACTTATATTCATATTAAGTAGGTTTCGAAACTACCATCTGATTTCGAAAAGCGAAGGCTTTTTGCAAAGCTGTCGGCATCGTCAATAGCAAAAGCTTCGAAAAGCAAGCAAAGCTGCGTATGATAATCATTATTATCAGGTTATAGAATGTATGGGAATGTACCAAGTCCACGGCACGACTCTGGAAATTGCCATGTATACTGTGGACTCCGGGCAAGATGCGTTTCTCTAGGTCTTCCTGCTGATATTACCAAGTTGCGAAAACGATGTCAAATAACTTTCATACATCGAAAGGAGACTTAAACCAAAATAGAGGCCACAATTACCTGATCTTCATATCTACTCTTGTTTTAGTTTTACTTTGTCGTGCATCTCCAGTGACCAAATATCATATTTTCCATCGGCACACTAGCAGGACTTGACCCATGGACGGGATGTCAAGAAACTTCGTTTCTTGGCTTAGTGTATTTTGTGTGTATTTTCGTAAAGTATGGCTTCTTGCTCTGATGATCTCTATCACAAACTAGACGATAGTTCAGTACAGACTTATCAAGGTCGCAGGACAATGAATTAAAGACTGCTTAGCACAACCTACAATCTTCATTCCTTCGGTTTCCGGTAAGACCAAATGAATTCCTTCTAACCATTTTTTTCCTTCTAAATGAAAATACCTGCTGCGAATAGCTAATTATTTTTTATATATGTATATTTTAGAGCTACCTATACGCG